ACACCCTTCAGGCGCTGTCTTCACATATGTATATATATATATATACACATGTACGTCTGTACATACATACATGCATGCATACCTACATACGTACGCACATGCATTACATACATGCATGCATACATACATACATACATACATACATACATACATACATACATACAGACATACATCCATGCATGCATGTACATGTACATGTACATGTGCATGTACACGTACACGTACATGACGTACATGTACATGTACGTGGTTATGTATATGTATATGCATGTATATACATATATATATATAAGTATATAATTATATATATATATATATATATATATATATATATGTACATCTCTCTCTCTCTCTCTCTCTCTCGCTCTCTCTCTCACCACACCGAGATTTCGCACCTCGGCTTCGATCGCATGCTCTTCGCAAAGATGGACCTCAGGCCAGAACCGGTTTGAGGAATCAGCAAACCCTACGGCTCCGTGTGCCCATACTGCTGATGATACAGTTACAGATGGTGCATTACCTTAAGGACCCTAAGCTATGGAATCATGGACTATCCCTTCTTATGGGTAGTGCAGGATATATATCATCAACCGTATTGCATGTGTATTTATATATACATATGCCTTAGAGTACCTGTATAGGAACCCAAAATGCGGCCCATATTAGATAGACATACATTATGCAAGTACATGGAGCCGTTGGGCAAAACAGAGGGTTCAGGTTTGGGTGAGAAGATCGGAGGTTAGGGCTCAGGGCTTTGGAGTTCAAGGGTTTAGGGTTTAGGGTTTAGGGTTTAGGGTTTAGGGCTTCCAGGGTTCAGGTTTAGGGTTTAGGGTTCAAGGGTTTAGGCTTTACAGGGTTCAGGTGTCGGTTACCCTGAGGCTCCGAAAGGGGTCGTGGGCTTTCTGGGGCAGGTTTTGGACTTTGAGGGCTTCGGGATCTCACTATCAGGCTCCATGGATAGGGACCTGTAACCCCCAAACCCTAAACCCTCAAATCCCCAAATCCCGAAACTTTTAGATACCCCCAAATCTCTAAACCCTAAACCATAAATCTCTAAGTCCCTAAATCCATAAACGCAACTGCAAGACGCGGAGAACTAGCTTTCCGGGATCGCCTAGGAAAGCCCAACGTCAACCAGCATTCGAGGCATCTTGCGCCTCAGGTTCCCCCCGAAAGCGTCATGCAGAACGCGGTTCTTTAATCCAACTCCCCTGGGCCCTAAGCCCAAACCACACAGACTGTGACTTACTTCCTCAATAAGCCCAGGAAAATCAAGGAAGCAAAAAGTTAAACTTTCAGACGACTACTCAATTATATGAACGAAAAAAAGTAAAGGTTGGGTATTGGGGAACTAAGTTGAAATTCAGAAGCCAGAAACCCACAACCAAACAAAAACAAAAAAACGTGCACCCCAAACCCTAAACCCAAAGGCCCTAAGACCTTCCGAACTAGAGTATAGATCCCTTAAAAGAACCTTCAAATTAATCCCAAACCCTAAACCGTAAACCCTACACCACGGAAATTCGTAACATCGCCAGAGAACCGCTTCCGCTCCTTCCTCATCATCTGACTCCTGAGCTGCGGCTTTAAAGTCGTTGTAGCGTTTTTTCGGCTTGGGGCCCTTTCTCCGCAGGTCAGCGAGCCCGTTCACTGGTTTAGGATTTGTTTTGAGTGCCCTCAGTAAGGGTTTAGGGTTTATCAGGCTTCGCGGCTACATTGGGCAATGACCTTGAGGACGCACTCGCGAAGGCTTGCTAAGGCATCTTCTCGGCTGCACCATTTAAAGCCACTGGAAAATGTTCGTAAATAAGATCCTCTTAAGCCAAATAACCAAAGGCCCACCTAGTCTTGGCAATCCCATGGATGTCGGCCTCTTCGGGATGATTCGGTCTTCGGGATGATTCGGATAAGTCTGATCTTCCTGGTGTCTGGCAGGAGAACTGCTATTTGCCTGCTGCATGTTCTACGACCACGGCTTCATGGACACCCTTCGCCATGCTTTCGTCGCAGCAGACCCAAGCACTAAAGACACAAGGCTGCTCGCTAGCAGTGATGTCCGAATGACGATGTACAAACAGAAGTTGCGCACAAGCCGCAAGGTTTCGACCTTCAACGAAGCGGATACCCTAAGGGTCCAAGTGCCTAATAATCATACACTCTCCCAAATATTAACCTAAACAACTACTATACGCAACCAAAGTACCTCATCATTGGACACCAAAACAAAGAACTCACGATTTGAAGAAGTGTACAAAAACCCTTCGGCAGACAGTCCTCAGCGCCTGGTCGCAACATCTTGGAGAGGCCTCGCCCACATCTAAGGCAAGCTTCAAGAGTCAGGTTTCAAGAAGTCTGAGGCAGACCACAGCCCAGAGAACCCTATACCCCATAATGGAGGAATACCTTATATAAGGCCCCTACAATTTACGGCAAGAGTGAGCACACCTAAGGCAAGTTCGAAAACGTCACCAAGAAGCTCTTCTTTGGAATGTTCATGCACAAAGATGCGTTTCCGGGTATCCGGATCGAAGTATATTCCTTCATTGCGGGGTATTGGCTTCTCTGGGAGCTTAGGCACCAGCGGAAGAGAAGCAGCAGAAAGACAACGTTCAAAGCCTTCGGCGCTTCCGGGCTCATTGCTTCATGCTGACAGCTTGGGCTTCGAGGGTTTAGGGTTTACCTTAAGAACCCAAAACCTACTTTTCTGTAGGGTCCCTATAACTCCCATATTCGGGTTTATAATAAGAAACTCCAAAAAAGTGGGTTTGGGTTGTTAAGGTAGGGTTGAACGCTTGTTTCGTTGAGGCAATGAGGTGAAGCTGCTGCCGTGCTTGTCTGTTTTGTTACACGGCGTGGTGAATACCGACAAAAGCTTCAACGCTAAGCTGCTCCCCGCCCAGGGGCAATCGAAGCGTGGTCTCCGCTGGTCCGAAGTCTATCAGTAAACTAGCGAGGTCTGCATCGTCCATGAACCTCTAAGGGAGCCATTATGGATCTTAAGGGTGCCTTCTAGGTTCTTTCAAGGGAGCCTTTATAAAACCCACCTAGTACGTAAGGGAGCCCTAGAAGATCCTCGTATAGTAGAAGCTCGCGTTTGGTGTTTAAAGGTTTAAAGGCTTAAAGGCAGAGCTGGAAGGGACAGGGTCTTAAAGGGCACTGGACAAGTAGGCAAGCCGCAACCATGTGTGCTCAGGCTTGTTGTATATGTACACAAGAACCAACACATACTAAGTCAGTGTATATAAATGCCAATTATAGCTACTTGTGGTAACCTGCATGCTCTTGATAACATGTGTTGTGCTTGTTTGCAGCGTCTGGCTAGAGTTCATTGGTTAGAGCTTATATAAGCTTTGAGATAGGGTTTCAAGTTTCGATTTTCAATGTAGTGGTCAAGGGTACAGTTGCAATCGGTGATTACATTGGAGGGGTGATTACATCCTTCGGGTTTGCGCGCCGCACGAACCAATCACCTGAGCACCCTGCGAGAACGATGTGCCGAACAGAACGCCACTCCGGCGGTGATTGGATGAAGCGGATTGGGTTTCGGGGCTGTGTGTACCACGAGTAATGAGTATGTATGTCAGAACGAGGAAGCTCGTACTATCAGTCGCCACGTCTACAATAAGAAAGTGGCCTTTATAATTGGAATGGGGCTTTGTGGTATATGATACGAACTATGATAAGGAACCCCCGCAGGAACTCCATTAAAAAGATTCCGGCTCCTACACAAAGAGCGAAGCCCTCGCGTTCTCACCGGGGCTCCAGCCACTGACAGGAAGCCTGAGCAGGGTTTAGGGTAGGGTTTTTGGTTTATGTGGATACCAGAACTGGTTCCAACCGACCAAGCAAGTCTCCCTCCATGCTACCTTGAAATGAAACTGAACGCCCGAAGACTTCAAGGCATAGATGCCCAAGCCTGTCGGCTTTTTCGCCCTAAGCCCGAAAGCTTGACTACTAGACTCTACCAGCATCAAAGTCCAAGTGCTGGAACAACAATAGAAGCTGAAGCCCCCTAAACCCCTAAACCCTAAACTCCTAAACCCCTGAACCCCTTAACCCTAAACCCCTAAACCCTGAACAACCCGATAGGGCTCAGTGTTCTAGGCTCCAGGGCCAGGGTCAGTCTGAGTCTTTGGTTTGGTGGCTTAGCTTTACTTAAACCCCAACGGTCTAGGGGATCCAATAATTAGGTATTTGGGTTTAGGACTTTAGTTGTGTAGGTTACTGCTTTGGAGGCTTTGGAGAGTATAAGGTAATTAGGTACTTGCCCTAAACCCTAAACCCTAAACCCTAAACCCTAACTTGACAAAAAGAGGAGGGCTTTGGCCTGTACCTGGGGACGCTAAGGGTAGAATGACTACGGTTGATGATATAGATCCTGCACTACCCATAATAAGGACTGGGAGCTTGGGTTTCAGTTTGGAGCTTGTGTTTTTAGGGGTTTCGGGTTTAATTTCTGTGTTTCATTACTAGGGGTCCAGGACGAGGATTTATTGGCAGTTTCGGGCCTATGGGGCTAGACCTTTTCGGGGTAGCGGGATCTCAAGCAGTTTCTTTCTGCCTCAATGTCTGAGCCGCGGAGCACCAAGTAAGAACCATAAGCCCTATTTATAAACCCTAGGATTTAGGCTGTAGGCTTTATAGGGTTTAGAGATAGGGATAAACCCTGAAGCGAAGATCGGTAGTGCTTCCATGCGAGGATGAGATGAGCATGGGATTTCGGCCCTATTCCAGATGCCTTTCGCCTTTAATGGAGTGCAGGTACCTTTAGCATGTACTTAGGTAGTTTCAAAATTGGGGTCCCTTTTCGGGTCCTTTTTACAAGGGTGCCGTACCATTTTTGGCACCTAACAACGGACCCTAATCTAGAGAACTGCCC